CATCACGACTTTTCACATCATGCGAGCGCAAAAGTTAAAAGATGTCATGCCCGCAGAGGCTGTTATCGACAAAGACGTTGCGAACAACATGGTGATGCTCATGACTGCCCAGGGCGAGAAATTAAAACAAGGAATGTCTGATACAGGACTTTCCACAACCCACTCGAACAAAACACATCCATTGCTAGAAGTGAGACCTTTAGAGATATTCTTCAAGTTCCACTGTGCAGTCATAGAGGGTCATTTGCCGACAACACTCTGGAGCAATGTCCACAAGAAACTCCACAATGACGGAGCGAAAACGCTGTGTAGCTGCCACGCATTCAGTCTGCATGGGAACTGTGAGCACGTCATCTATGTGAAAGCACTCAACAACGTGGACGACTATGCGACGAAACTGGCGGAGGTGCCACTCGTCCGACCAAAGGGTCGGAAACGCAAAGCGCAGTTAAGTGCAGGGGACACAGCTCCAGGTACAAAGAAGCTAAGATTTGAAGTCTCGAAAAATGCTTGACATCCTACAGGCTCACATGCGTAGACAACCGACAGAAGCCACGACCTTGGCGCAGCGGAAAAAATTTGTGCGGACGGTAGCATTGGGCGATGGCACAGTGGAAGATCTCGAAAATTCTAGCCGGGAACATGTATGGTACACAAGAAAGAAAACGAAAAAGAAAATAAATGTTATGATCACAGACCAGTAGAAAACATACTCACCAGAAAGAAAGAGCAATCCGATCAGACGAAGCAGAGCGGTGTTTTGAGGGTTGATACAGCAGCTTGGAACAAGGACAGTGTCAAGGATTTGCCGGCAGATGTGTCGTGTCGGTCGGATGCCAGTTGAGAACAAAGCTTGGAGATGTTCAAAGCCGGTTTTGACGAGTATGAAGCATGAGTGCTTGGGCGCCGAAGAGGCAGTCGATGTTTTTGTTTCGTTGTGGCGTGCCATGCCTTGGCCGTTGGCTTTGTAGTTCTTGATGCTGCTTCAAAAGCTTAGCCTTTACCAATGGCGATGTTGTGAGATTTGGTCGAAGTCGCTTAGATTTGTAAGAGGTTACGGATGGTGATGTTACGGGCTTTGTTCTAAGTCGTTTAAAGTTTTCAGACAGAACGCAATTCCCAGCCAATTCGTAGTGACGTGGACCCAGGCACGGAGAGGCCCAAGTTTGGAGCACACAACGTGAGAAAAAAGAAGTGCCAAAAACTCAATGTAGAGAGGCTTGGTGGAGAGTCCAACTTTGGGCACATAGGTTGTCTTTGCGATAGGAAGCCGCGGGATCCTGGCGGTGTCAATTGCGGCACGCACAAGCCGTGCATTTCTGACAGTGATTTTGTCGTGGCTTTGTTTGTCATGGGAAGGCGTGAACTCCTTGGATAATACCAGGCCTCTAGAGTGCATTTCCGACGGTGACGGCGTGGTGTTTCTTTTGCAGAGAGGAAGCCATGGGCTCCTTATGTGTGATGTTTCCGACACAGATATAATCGTGGTTTCATTTGTCATAGGAAGCCATGGGCTCCTTGGATCCCCATCATCTTTCACCTGCAAACGGGGTACATTGCAGCGGGAATAGTGTGCAACTCACGCAAGAGTCAGAAACGTTGTGGTGTGAGCTGATAGAGTTGGTTTTTGAGTTAGGGTCTGTTGCAGCAAGGGCTTGGCTCGGTTTTTTACACGTGAAAGTGAAACATGTCTCCCAAAACACGTCCACAGATGTTTTACCACAGGTGGGCGACCAAGCACTAGCCACGAAAGAGGAGTGGTTAAGCAAAATCATGCCTGGATAGAAGACCCTGGAGCTCCGCAACAAATCAGCCCAACCTGGTCTGGCTTGGTTTTCCATCCATTTCCGTCCAAGACTGCATCTACCTGAGAACGAACATAGTGCAGACAGAGCTGCTGCCTGCAGAGAGTTTTCACAAGCATCGCGGAGAACATTGCTGGGCAGCTCTCCCACACCAGGGCAAAACGCCGTGCGCAGCGCCAACGTCACAATGAGAAGTGTTTCGAATGTGATGTTGTGGTGCTTCTTTTGCAGAGGAAGCCATGGGCTCCTTGTGTATGATGTTTCCGACAGGGATATGGTCGTGGTTGCGTTTGTCATAGGAAGCCATGGGCTCCTTGGATAACGCCAGGCATCTTTCACTCACAAGCGGGGCCCGTGCGCGTAGAAGCAGCGCACTTCCGACGGCGATGTTGTGGTGTTTCTTTTGCAGAGAGGACGCCGTGGGCTCCTTGTGGTGCATGAATTTACAAACAACAGGTTTTATTTTTCAGAGGTGTTCAAACTCGACTTCACAAGCCTCGTTCTTCTGAGAAATGTGTTCGACGCCTGTGTGGGCGAGTCTGACTGACGACGTTCAAAATCTCCGCGAAATAAACCACATAGTACCCCGTCTGGGATGATAATTTGCTCAGGCCCTCGATGGAATTAATGTATATTTTCCGAGCTTGAGGTCAGTGATGGCCATGTTTTCAGCTGCCGTAAATGTATATTAGGGGGCCCCCCCTTTGGGTGCCAAGGGGTTTATATATATATATATATGTATCTATCTGTCTTTTGCGTCCTCTTCTTCCTGTCTTACTCTTTCGCCCTCATTCTCTCGCTGGTCTCTTCCCATCATTTTTCTTCAGAACGCCAAAACATGGTACGCCGCAGGAATTCTACACTAAGCAAGGTCGGACATATTTTTCTGTATATATGTCTGTCTTCATGTACATATATACAGCAGCCTCTTCTTCCTCTCTTACACTTGCGCCCGCACTTTCTCACTGATCGTCCGTCATTCGTCCTCATAATGCAAAAAGACGGTACACTGCAGGTCAAGGGATTGATAGTTTGAACGTCGAAAACCAGTTCACGTTTTGGGTACCCTTTCGAGCTGTCTACACAAGGTTTAAGTGTGTGTTCCCTTCTTTGACAGTTCTTTTGGCCGTGCGATGCTCATTGGTAGACTTAAGTCAAGATGCCGGAACCAGGACAGGTTATAGAAAGAGTTGGTCACCAAGTGTTGTCGCTCCGCCATCTTAGGCATACTCCTCAATGCAGACTTTAACCGCATAGAGAAGATGGCGCATGCTTTGTTGCAAAGAAACATAGGCTGCTTACATGTCCGCATCCTCTGCCTTCCGAGTTTGCTTTGGTCAACGTTTGCGCCGCAGACCTAAAGATGATCCTGTCCTGGTTCCATTAGCAATCTGCGCGTGGACGCAGAGTCTCCGCAGTGCCCTGTGTTTGCGCCGTCTCACCTGAGCGCAGAAAAAAATGACGCGAGACGTGGAACCCCAAGAGGGCGACGACAATTGGCGAGGCCCCACGTCGTGCCAGTTGAGATCGAGGTTTCGTAAATGGGCTGTCCTTTTTTTGACCCACGCACCCTTTTTCTTTGACCCCTTCTTTTTTTAAATTACACCACCGTAGACCCCAAACAGTTTGTGTCTTTCGAAATCGGAACACTCTGCAACTAGAGCCTGCGACGTCCAGAGCTGGGAGACAAAGGATTGCAAGGCAGAGGCGGCCACAGCAGTCCGGAGCTGGGAGACAAATGCAGACACAGGGAGACAAATGTAAAGGATTAGGCGGACACAGCAGTCCAGAGCTGGGAAGAGGAGACAAATGAAAGGAAGCGGGAGACAAGACAGCCGGGAACCCGACCGCAAGCACCCAGCCTGGGAGACAAATGAAAAGAACTGGGAGACAAGTGAAAAGAAGTGGGAGACAAATGAAAGGAAGTGGGAGACAAGCCAGCCGGGAATGAAAAGAACTGGGAGACAAATGAAAAGAAGTCGGAGACAAATTAAAGGAAGTGGGAGACAAATGAAAAGAAGTGGGAAACAAATGAAAGGAAGTGGGAGACAAGCCAGCCGGGAACCCGACCAGACCATCCAGCACCAAGGCGAATGGAAAGCCCAACCACAAGCGTGGGAGACAAATGAAAGAACTGGGAGACAAGTGAAAAGAAGTGGGAGACAAATGAAAGGAAGTGGGAGACAAGCCAGCCGGGAACCCGACCACAAGCACCCGCCTGGGAGACAAATGAAAAGAACTGGGAGACAAATGAAGGGAAGTCAGAGACAAGCCGGCCGGGAACCCGACCAGACCATCCAGCACCAAGGCGACCATTCTGTAAAGCATTGAGAACCCCTAACAGTAAACTGTTTGGGGAATTAACTTAATCAAACATGATTGAAGCTGGAAGCTTACATCACTAACAAAGACTGAAGGCTTGCAGATCCAATTACCTCAATATTTGAAAGAAGAAGGGTCGCTAGGAGAAGAGTTGTATATCAAAAAAGTAGGGTTGCAGGTCAGAAAACATGGGTTGTGGGTCAGAAAAGAAGGGTTGTGGGTCAGAAAAGAAGGGTT